ATGTCACTCGTACTTTATTGATTGAGTCATCTGTACCATCTAAATATTGGGTGGAAGCTTTGTCTACTGCTGTCTATTTAATTAATAGATTGCCATCTAAAGTGCTAAATCTTGAGTCTCCATATTTTCGTCTTTATCACCAAAATCCTAACTATAGTGATTTTCATACATTTGGTTGTGTTTGTTTTGTGCATTTACCTCTTTCGCAATGCAATAAACTTTCTGTACACTCTACTAAATGTGCTTTTATGGGTTATAGTACTTCACAAAAAGGTTTTATTTGTTATGATCCATGTTCTCACAAATTTCGTATTTCTAGAAATGTTGTTTTCTTTGAGAATCAGTAATTCTTTCCTACAATTGTAGATTCATCTTTTGTTTCTCCTCTTCTTCCTACTTTTGAGGATTTATTATCTTCTTTTAAGAGGTTCAAACCTAGATTTGTGTATGAACGATGTCGGCCAACTTTGCTGTAGTATTTCTCAGCTTAGGTCCAAGCTCTGAATTCAGCCATGGAAGATCCTAAGTCTAGAGAGAATATTTTGGAAGAGAAAATTTTGTTCTGTTTGTATTGATCTTTCTCAATGTACAAATGCAGTGCTAAATAGCCAACTGCCCACGTGCTATCTCTAACAAACTAACAGCTGTCAACAACCAGCAAACTAACTGTTAATATAATCATTAAGCTAATTAATCAACTCAACTAATCTAACTTCCAATACTCCTCCTCAAGCTGGAGGATGAAGAATATTAAGTACTCCAAGCTTGCTCAATAAATACTCATGTTGAGTTCTTCCAAGCCCTTTTGTGAGTAAGTCTGCTTGTTGATCTTTTGTTCCAATGTGATGAGTCTGCACAATTCCAGCCTTAATCTTGTCTCTGATAAAGTGGCAATCTATTTCGATATGCTTAGTGCGCTCATGAAAGATGGGGTTTGCTGCAATCTGTATAGCAGCCTTGCTATCAGAATAAACATCCACGGGTTGCTTGATGAACACATCTAATTCTATGAACAATCCTAATAGCCAAGTTATTTCTGAGGTGGTAGTAGCCAAACTTCTATATTCTGCCTCAGTAGAACTTCTAGACACAGTTTGCTGTTTTTTTTATTTCCATGAAATTAATAATTCTCCAAACTTCACTAGGAATCCTGTCACTGATCTCTTGGTGTTTGGGCATGCAGCCCAATCTGCATCACAAAAACATGTTAGAGAGTCAGCTTTGTTACTGCTCATCAATATTCCCATTCCAGGTTCTTGTTTGATGTATTTCACAAGTCTAATTGTTGCATTCCAGTGAGACTCTTTAGGTGTCTGCATGAACTGACTTAACGTTTGTATGGCAAAGCTTATGTCAGGTCTTGTAATTGTTAAGTACAACAATCTTCCTATCAGTCTTTGATAAGCTGTGATATCTGTCAAAGGAACATCCTCTGAGTTTCATGTGTGTTCATCATACTCAATAGATGTGAATTTCTGATTAGGATCCATAGGTGTGGATGCTGGCTTTGCTCCTCCTAGGCCCAAGTCTGAAATTATCTGCAGAGCATACTTCCTCTGATTCAGCAATATCCCTTTGCTAGATCGAAGAATCTCTATTCCAAGGAAATACTTCAACTCTCCCAAGTCTTTCACCTTGAATTTATGATGCAACACCACTTTGGTTTCATGAATTAGATCATCATTGCTCCCAGTAATCAATAGGTCATCTACATAGACTAAGATCACCACGATGTCATCTCCTCTTCTCTTGGTGAACATTGAATAGTCATATAAGCTTTGGCAATACCCTGCATCTATCAATGCATTTGATAGTTTGATGTTCCATTGCCTTGATGCCTGTTTCAGGCCATACAATGACTTCAACAACTTACACACTTTAGCCCCTCCTTGACCTTTGAAGCCTTGTGGAAGCTCCATATACACTTCCTCAAGTAAGTCACCTTGCAAGAATGCATTGTAAACATCCATTTGAGATAAATTCCAACCTCGTGAAGCTGCCAATGCAAGGATGGTTCTGACAGTGACCATCTTGGTCACCGGAGAAAATGTTTCATGATAATCAAGGCCCTCTTGTTGACTATAGCCCTTGGCAACCAATCTTGCTTTGAACCTTTCAATCTCTCCATTAGCTTTGTATTTCACCTTGTACACCCATTTGGAACCCACTGCATTTTTACCTTTTGGAAGGTCAACCACTTCCCATGTGCCATTGTCTTCTAGAGCCTTAATCTCCTGTTTCATTGCAACCACCCACCTAGTATCCTTGGAAGCTTCTTTATAGTGGTGTGGTTCTGTGACTTCAGAGATTTTTGCTACGAAACTTCTACAATTATCAGATAATTTGTGATATGACACACAGTCAGTCAAGGAATATGTAGTTGCCAAATTGGCTTTCCCTTTCCCTGTACTGATATAATCTTCATGCCAAAGGGGTGCTTTAACAGTTCTTGCTGATCTTCTTGGAGCAATCTGAGCCACGTTTTCCTGAGAACCTGGGACTATCATTTGTGCAACCTCATCAGCAGTATAGTCATCACTAGGAGATGAGACTACATCATTATCATCAACCTCAGTGACAGTAGTATCAATATCAGGACAATTTCCAGTAGTTGTAGCATCATGTATAACATCAACAGTAGGCATAGAAATAGTCTCATAAATAGCTATGTTTTCATTTGTAACCATTGGATCTGAATGAATTTCATCATAATGATGAGGTAATGTAGGATCAGTATTATTCTCCTTAACATGGATCATATCAAGGAATTGATCAGGTTCATTAGAAGAGGTCTGGCCAAAAGGAAATAAGTGTTCCTTGAATACTACATCCCTACTAATAAAGAACATTCTGGTTGCAAGGTTGAGAAGCTTATAACCCTTTTGAGTAACAGAGTACCCCAAGAAAACAGCTACCTTGGCTCTTTCCCCAAACTTATCAATCTTGACTGGGTTGGTAGCATAACACATGCAACCAAATACCTTCAAGTGACTGAACAAAGGAGTTTTTCCATATAATAGTTCGAAAGGAGATTGACCTTTCAACACATCACTGGGTAATCTATTTATCAGATAAACAGCTCCTTCAATGCATTCACCCCAATATCTGGCAGGAATATTGGCTTGAAACTTAAGAGCTCTTGCAACACTTAGGATATGTCTGTGTTTCCTCTCAACTACCCCATTTTGTTGAGGGGTATGAACACAACTACTTTGATGAATAATACCATATGAAGTAAATAAATTAGTACAATTTTTGTTAAAAAATTTAGTACCATTGTCCGACCTAACAATCTTCACAACAGATGCAAACTGAGTCTTTATTTGAGATAGAAAAGTTCTAAGCACCACAATTACATCACTTTTCAGACTTAACAAGTAGATCCATGTAAATCTAGTATGGTCATCAACAATAGTGAGAAATAATGTTTGTTGTCATGGGTAGGAGTCTTGTAAGGACCCAATACATCCATGTGCAGCAACTCAAAAGGTATCATGCTTCTAGTAGAACTAATAGGAAAAACCAATCTACTATGTTTAGCTAGTGGACAGACTGGACAGTCATTGTTTGCAGCGACATTCAAGTCTTTATTTTGTAGGAAACTTAAACTCTTCATAGTCTTAGTTGATGCATGCCCTAGCCTCTTATGCCATAGATTTCCATCAGTGCATCTTCCTTCTACAACTGCATTATTTACTAAAGTAGTCATATCCTTCTTACGATTATCTTGCTTCAGAACATACAAGCCACATTGTTCCTTACCAATCCCCCTCACCCTGCCACTGTAAAGATCCTGAAATACACAAAAATCAGGAAAAAAAGTGACAGAGCAAGATAGGCTCTTGGTCAATTTGGAAACTGACAACAAATTATATTTGAAGTCTGGGACATAAAGCACATTATCCACCAGCATATTCTCAAGAAATTCTGCGATTCCAATATGTGTTAAATTAGATTGCCCTCCATTAGGCATATTTACTTGTTGCTTACTATTGATTTCAGTCCTACTTTTGAGCATGTTATAGTTAGCAGTAATATGGTGTGAAGCACCTGAATCCACAATCCACTCTTTAGAATATAGGTCTGCCATTAAGGAAGTAGCAATACCTGCCAGATTGCCTTGATGCTCTCCAGTGTCCCTTTTAGCATGTAACATCCCCAAAACCTGCTTGTGTTGTTCTTCTGTGAAAGAATAATATTGGCCATTGTGGTAGTATCCTAGTTGTTCACCTTTGTAGTAGTGTCCAGGAGTTACTCTCTCTTGTGCTACAAAACTTCTGCCAACATTTGTATCCATAGCAACTGTATTAGTCATAGCAACCGCATTAGCCATAACTTTCTTCCCTTTCCAGTCTGCTGGATAACCAATCAGCTGGTAACATTTCTCCTTCAGATGCCCCTTGAGACCACAATGTGTGCATTGCATGAAAGGTTTCTTGCCTCTATATGGTTGTCCGCGACCAACCTGCATAGCTATCAGATCACCTCTTCCTCCTGTTATTCCAAATGAACTGGACATGTGTCCTTCATCTTCACTTATCATGGCATAAGCCTGGTTCAATGTAGGCTCAATTGTTTTCATCAGAATTTGTCTTCGCGCTTGTTCATACGATTCGTTTAAATCAGAAAGAAATTGAAGTAACCTCTGTCGTTGTAAGTGTTCGATGTAATCCTTCGATTTTGCGCAATCACAACCTGGTGAAGGCACTAAAGCATCATATTCAGCCCAAAGCTCCTTCAATTTGGTGAAATATGCATCCACAATGTCAGGCCCTTGAGAAATCGTAGCTATTTCTCTATGCAATTGGAAAATGCGAACTCGATTCACTTTACCGAATCGCTCTTTGAGATCTTCCCAAACCAGATGTGCATTTGATGTGTATACAATTCCACTAAGGAGATTCTTCGACACTGTGTTCATGATCCAGGACAGCACAATCGCATTACATGTTTCCCAATCTTCATGCAGATCTACACTGAATTGATCCTTTCTGCAAGTGCCAGTTATGAACCCCAATTTTCTCTTAGCTTGTAAGGCGATACACATCGATCTTCGCCATAGTCCGAAATTATCTGATTCGGTTAGTTGTGTTGGAATCAAAGTCGATCCCGGAGTATCCGACGGATGAACGTACAAAGGATGCGTATGTGCGAGCTGTTTCTCAGTCTCCATTTTCGCAAAGCTCAAAAAATCTCAGTAAAGAGCTCAAAATTCTCAGAAAAGAAAAAAAGAGAAAAAAAACGTGCAATCCAGTCACGCCTGCTTTGATACCATGTAGAATTTCTCAGCTTAGGTCCAAGCTCTGAATTCAGCCATGGAAGATCCTAAGTCTAGAGAGAATATTTTGGAAGAGAAAATTTTGTTCTGTTTGTATTGATCTTTCTCAATGTACAAATGCAGTGCTAAATAGCCAACTGCCCACGTGCTATCTCTAACAAACTAACAGTTGTATACAACCAGCAAACTAACTGTTAATACAATCATTAAGCTAATTAATCAACTCAACTAATCTAACTTCCAATATTTACCCTATCCCGACACTGATCCACCGCCTCAAACTGCACCACAACTAGAATCTGAGAATTCTTCAAGATATGGTCCTCTTGAGCCTACTTGGCGATCTACAAGAGCATCTCGTACTCCCAATTGGTATGGCTTTTCCTCTACTTTATCCAACATATCTGTTCCATCTTGTTACTCACAAGCTTCCAAGCATGAATGTTGGCAGAAAGCAATGGAGGAAGAGCTTTGGCTCTTAAAGAAAATGACACATGGGACATTGTTTCATGTCCTTCAAATGTCCGCCCTATTGGATGTAAGTGGGTTTATTCAATCAAACTTCATTCTGATGGAACTCTTGATCGGTACAAAGCTCGATTGGTTGTTTCTCATTGCCTACATCAGATGTATGCAAGTTGAAGCGGTCTTTGTATGGATTAAAACAAGCTCCAAGAGCTTGGTTTGATAAGTTCCGGTCTACTTTGCTACAATTTTCTTTTGAGCAGAGCAAATATGACTCATTTTTGTTTCTTCGGAAAACATCTACAGGTTGTGTTCTTCTTTTGGTGTATGTAGATGACATTATTATCACAGGAACTGATTCTTCACTAATCACTTGCCTCCAACAGCAGCTTAAAGATTCTTTTCATATGAAAGATCTTGGTACTCTTACTTATTTTTTGGGTTTGGAAGTTCATAATGTTGCTTCAGGTGTATTTCTAAACCAACACAAATATACTCAGGATCTGATTTCTTTGGCTGGTTTTCAAGTTTCCTCCTCCGTAGATACTCCACTGGAATTGAATGTGAAGTATCGATGTGGGGAAGGCGATCTTCTTCCTGATCCAACTATATTTCGACAATTAGTTGGGAGTCTTAATTACCTTACTATTACTCGGCATGATATCTCTTTTGCAGTTCAACAAGTTAGTCAATTTATGCAAGCTCCCCGTCATCTCCACTTGGTGGCTGTTCGTTGCATCATTCGGTACCTTCTAGGAACATCTACTCGTGGATTGTTCTTTCCAAGTGGTTCTCTTATTCGTCTTAATGCTTTTAGTGATTCTGATTGGGCGGGATGTCCTGATACTTGTCGTTCAGTCTCTGGTTGGTGCATGTTTCTTGGAGAGTCATTGATATCTTGGAAGAGTAAAAGGCAAGATAGTGTGTCAAAATCTTCAACATAGGCTGAATATCAATCCATGTCTACTGCTTGCTCCGAGGTTGTATGGCTTCGTGGATTACTTGCTGAGATTGGATTTCCCCCAATCTCATCCTACTCCTCTCCACGCTGACAATACAAGTGCTATTCAGATTGCTACTAATCCAGTTTTCATGAGAGGACCAACACATCGAAGTGGATTGTCATTATATACGAGAAGTTGTAGATAAAGGAGTCATTACTCTTCCACATGTGTCCAGTGATCTTCAAATAGCTGATGCGTTTACAAATCCATGGCACGGCAACGCCATCAGTTTCTAGTAGGCAAATTGATGCTTCTTGATCCACCAGCATCAATTTGAGGTGGGATGTTAGCATGATAGACAACTAAGTGATTGTATATATTAATGTAATTATATAGTGATATAAATTAGCATGATCATATACATTTGTTGTAGAATCATATGAATAAATATTGTGATAGAATAACTAATTTGGAGGGATAGCAAGGCAAATTTAGAGGGATTCAATGGCAAATTTGTATAGATAGAATAGTTGATCTTTAGGGATAGGAATGGCGGATCTTTAGGGATGTGTAATCTTTATTTTCTCTATATAATGGAAAGACTCTCTCACTTTGAGAGGCATTCAAGTGAAAATTGACACCAATCACATGACGGTGATGAGAAAAATTTGATCAACATGAGCAAATATAAGGGCGATCGAGTAATGGTGATGAAAAATAATTCAAGAATACCAATAACTAATATTGGCAAGACAGTGTCCGTGCCTCGTCATATCTCGAGACAAAGTGCAATTTCAGAATGTCTACTACATTCATGTAATTCCAAGTAATGTTACAAATTGTAATGTCATACACCATTCATGAAACTCAAAAAATCTAATGCAAAGTTACCGAATATTACATTCATGAATTGTAATGTAATACACCATAAGAATTTGTGCTAGAATTAGACATTGTTTACCTCGGTCCCGATAAAACTGATGGCAATTTTGAGCTGATAGCGGCTTCCCTCGGTTGGTTGCCTGCCCCAACCTTAGGTACATTTCTGAAATTATAATCTAAGTTGGTTTCAACAGTCACCAAACCTTCGAGTGCCTTAACCACCAATGACATGGATGGTCTCTTGGAGAAATCGCCCTGTAGACACCATGCAGCAATGCTCATCATTTCTGTCACTGCTTCTCTGTGGAGCTGCATATCTTCGTTTCTGTCAACCATATCTGTGAGCTGCTCTTGTTCTGCTTTTCTCGTAAAAACAGTTAGCAAATGGACATCTTCTTCATCAGTTTGGGACCAGTCCAAATTCTTTCGTCCACAGAGAGTTTCCAAGAGCACAATTCCAAAAGCATACACATCAACTTTTTCAGTGATTATTGAGCTCAACCATTCAGGGGCTATATACCCCGGCGTTCCTCTCATTCTAGTCACAACTTTGCTTTTGTCTTTCTCAATTAGCTTCGACAGACCAAAATCAGATATCTTAGCATTGAAATTTTGATCTATAAGGATGTTTTGTGGTTTAATGTCCAAATGAATTATCTTATGGCTGCAATCCTCATGTAGATAAGCTAATCCTTTCGCAATATCTGATATTATCCTCTGCCTTGTGTTCCATGTAAGCCCATTTTCTTGCGTGATCCACCTCGATCCATTCACCATGTATACTCATAGATTAGAAGCCTGTGGCTTTTTTCGGCACAATATCCAAGGAGTTTTACCAGATTGATATGGTGAATGCCACCGACTGTCTTTACTTCTGTTAAGAATGATTCCTTTACTTGACCTACTCCATCCAGATGCTTCACATCTATTTTGGTGCCATTTCTCAGTGTTCCTTCATATACAGAGCCAAATCCTCCTTTCCCGAGCTTTATGCTGAAATCTTGTGTAATTATTTTCAGCTCATTGTAAGAGAATCGAATTAGGATTCCCGGTAAGATTGGTTCTAGATCCAGAAAATCACCAGCTTTGCGTTTCTCCGATCTCTTTTTGGAAAGAGCAGAACAAACTGAAAGAATCAAAATTATCCCAATCAAAGTACATCCCATGATAACTTTGAAAGGCATTTTCTGTCTAGGGAAAATGACCGGTGCATTTGGGGAATTCTGCACCTTAAGAAAAGCTGTTCCTACTCCAATGTCCATGAGAGAGAAGACTTCATTCAGTAACAAACAGTTCCCTCCTAGACTCATATTCAGATACGGATCATAAACAGCAGCTTTGCAAGAACAGTTACTCAGACATGCCCTTTGTCAATCTTCAATCTTTTTCCCCTCAATCCAAAATACGCTCGAGTTTAGTTCATGACTGAACTCAAATGAAAAATATGCAGTATTCTTTAGCTCTACAAGACTATGATACTGTGAAGAGTCACAAGAAATGGGCGTCAGCTCAGTGCCTCCGAGATTTGGCTTCCTCTCAGAAAATGGCCTGAAGAAGTTGACTTCAACCGGACAAGTACATTGTCCTTCATTTGCACAAATGTTGTATCTCCCACACACCATTGGGTAGCCACAGTCAGAGAGTGTCAAAATGTCACATACCTCTTTCCAATTAAGGCAGAGCATATTATTTTCAAGGTTGTCCAATTGATATATGCGTAAATGTCCATCATGCCCAAGCTGTATGTATTGAGCTATCGATGTAGAAGGATATTGTAAAGCAGTAAGGATATGACCATCAAAACTCCAATAAGGACTATCGGGATTATCTGAACTGTAGTAATACTGAGGTGGATCAGAATCTATGTATGTGGCCCAGCGTCCATTGAGAACAGTAAGAGAAAATAAACCTTGACTCGAATTGTCTGCTGAAATGCTTTGTTGAAGTTTGCTTTTAGTTACTGCAGTAACTTTTAGCAAAATAAGTTATTTAGTTTGAATAATTTGAATTTTGAATTTTAGTTAGTTTGTTTATGTTGTTGAGATATTTTAGGGTGTTTAAATTTTAAATTATGCAGAATATGTGTTTTATGTTGGCTATTTAAAGCCCCTCAATGCTTAATAAATTCATTGAAAGCTATTGAAAGTCATTTCAATCTATTGAGAGACATTTTCAATCTGTTTGTGCTGCCCCATTTTTAAAAAAACACCAACAGTTTGCTGTTAGGTTCTGACCAGAAACCAAATTCTTCCCGGGGAGCAAACAATCTGTAGGATGATCAAAAGACTGCCAAACTGTGCGGTTGGTCGTATCAAAGAGCATGAGATTCCCCGTTTCTGTCAAGTTAAAGCCAGAAACAGATTTTCCAGTGGTATTACTGGACCAAACAAGAGTGCTATCAGAGTCTGCGAACACCAAGTTGCCATCTTGGCCTAGTTGCAAGGTTGCATTGGCTTTCTCTGGACGGTCTCGATTAGCAGACCAAACTAAGTGTCCTCCCTCTATATAAATGGTCTCACCAGCGGTGCTGTTGTAAACTACTAATGAGATACCAAGAAAGCATTCTGTCGGATAGAAATTGCAAGAGAAGCCGTAGAGGAATTGTAGGCCAGTATTTCGTTCCAGAAGGATGGGTGTATAAGTAAGTTTGTTGATCCACAAAGTGGGAACACCGGAAATGAAATTCACTAAACGTTGGGATATAGCGAATTGAGAAGAACAGAAGAGAAGATAAATGAAGAAAAGGATACGAAAATATTGTCTATGTTCTTCCATCATTGCTTTCTCAACAAAGCCAAAGCTAATAGAAAGATTATATGTATCGGTTTGCTTGTTACTACTCCCTCAGTCTTCTTCTTGTTCGTATTATGTATAAGTAGGAGTGGCAAACTAGCAAGTTGAGTCGAATATGAGTTGATCGAAAATGAGTTAATAAAAATGGGTAAAATACTCTACTCAACTCATATTTTAGATGGATAAAAACGAGTTCCTCAATGGGTAATATGAGTATCCATATTTACCCATATTATTATAGGGATCATGTTAAAAGCTTCAAAAGCAAAATATACTCTTCAACCCACACCCCACACCCCACGAAAAAAATACTTAGAACTTTTAAATTTAACCTGCCCACCCCCATCCCTACCCCCAACTCCAACGCCTCAAAAATTATTATTTTTTTACTACTCCGACTCCCCCTTCCCCCCGCCAACCCACCCACCCCCTAACCCC